CGGCCATAAGGCAGAGCATCTCCTGCTCCAGCCTCACTGCTGCAGGCCCTGGTGCTCAACAAGGCCCCAGCTGGTGCTGTCACAAACCCAGATGTCCTCTGGGGCCAAGAAAGGAGGCTCCAAGGCTGCCAAGTGCACGGACAGAGCCCAGCGCACCCCACACCGGGGAAGAGGCTCACACAGTGGGCAAGGCTGGGACCCTGCCTGGGCAGACCCTGCCCTCACCTGCCATACTGCGGATGAATCGCTCTTGGCGGTTCTCGTAGAAGAGCTGAGAGCTGAAGATGGCCTCCAGGGCCTTGTTGTTCGCCTCCTGGGCGCACAGAGCCAGCATCTCGTCCAAGAGGGCCAGCTCGTGCTCCCGCATGGCACTCACTTGCCCCAGTGTGTGCCTGACAAGGCGCAGGATCTTGCGGTTGTTGATCAGCTGCTGGTCGGAGGCCGGGTGTCCCTGCAGTGCCTGCGCCCGCAGCCGGTAGTAGGAGAGGAGCAGGAAGAGGGTCTGGGGGTGGCGCTCCTTCTCCAGATGCCGCTCCAAGCTGCTGAGGCAAGACTCGACCAGGGGGTGGGGGCTGGACGGGTGGAGCCTCATCACGCTGCTGAAGACCATGGAGACGTCCTTCTGGTTGAAGCGGCCCAGGCGGCTCCGGGATTCGTCCTCCAGCACACGCACCAGCGGCGATTCCCCGGGCAGGCCTGCGACAGGGAAGGGGTTAGGGACGCCCGGACCCCACCTCTCGTCTTCACTAGGCACAACCATCCTCGTAAGCTCAGGCACGAGACTACAGCCAGAGAAGGACAGGTTTGCCGTGTCAGTGATCAAACCAGAGATGAGAAAGGGAAAGAGGACCGGTTTGGCAAAGCCTGACCAGAACATCAGTGCATCTGCACCACGGAAAAAGTAATTTGGAGCCGTTGGATTATTCCCACCCACTCCACCAAAATGGAAGTCCTTTAGTTCATCCGCAAAAGCAAGGTTTATTTCTTACGTCTCAAACGTCTTAAAGATAAATAATACACCTCAAAAAGTACTTTAAAAAAAGTTTTGGTTGGAAAACAAGTAAGACATCAGCACATTATCAAAATAAAAACTGTCCGTGTATGACAGGAATTAATCCTTCCACATTTCTAACCCTCTCCCGTTTTCTAGTTTAGCTTTAGTCATTCAAACTCGGCTCCTGGGTGAAATACTTTCCTTCAACTCTGGACGTATTATTCAACCACGGAAAGACAAGGGGCAAGGCACACAGTGTGGTTACGAGAAAAGGCAAAGGCCATCCTTCGCGTGTCAGGAGAGATATTTTCAGGAGATGCATGAAGCATTACGCACTGTATGAGGCCCTGGCAGCCCACTGGTCTCCTAAGCCAGCTGACAAGACTTCAATTTTCAAAAGGGCTTTAAAGCAACGAAGGCAGCATGGGGTAAGTTGCTGCATTTTATCATTAATCAAAAATCAGTCAGAAGGTGGAAAGTGAAGAATTGGTCTGAGCAGTTGCTTTGTTCCTTAAAAAGGCCTCAAAAAGGCGGGTTAGCATTTTTATTAATGACCGAGTAAGCATGGTGAGCAGGGAAGGGCGACTGACGGAGAACAAAGTGTGGGTCAAAACCAGAGCAGGCTGGGGGGAGCCCAGCTGAGGGGAGAGGCGCCTGGCAGCCCAGAGTTCAGTGTCAACAAACACAAGGCGCCGTGAGACAGAGTGGGGAAGAGCAGAAATGTCTTCCCTCCCCCCTTCAGCGGGATCTAGAGTTACTGCATCAACCCGCGGCAGGGACTGGGCGTCTCCGTACGCGGCTCAGCCGAGGCCTCAGCCCAGCGTGCAGCTGCGGTGGAAAAAAAAAGCAAATACAAGGGCAGGAACCGTGCGCATGGGACAGAGGAGCGCAGGGCTGGCAGGAACCGCTGGGGCGGGGAGGGCAGGCACCTGCCGCCGCAGGCAACCACCACACGCGATCCCCTTCCTCGCAGGCAGGAGAATCCGCAGGGCCCTCAGGGGCCCCCGGCCCAGCAAAGTGCGAGCCCCCCGGGACACAGCCCACCAGCCGGCCCAGCAGCTGCTGCGCAGGAACCGGCCTGAACCTTTTCTCCTGAATATTAAACTCCCGATGACAGAGGGCTCATGGCTTGCAAAGGGTTTAGCCAAGATCTCGCATCTCACACTTCGATGCTCAGATGTTTGCTGATTTTCAGGGGCTGGAACAAAAGTCAAGGAGCGGTTTATCCCGGTCCTGCCAGGCAGTGCTGGCCACCGCTTCGGCTGCCTTTCAGGCCGACATGCCGGGTGCTGCAGAGAGCCAAGCCCCCCTGGAGCAGTCAGTCCGCCTGACTGCCTTCCTGCTGCATATCCCAAGCAGAGCCTCCTCCTTCAAAGGGCACAACTCCATCTGCCACAAAGCCACCATCACACGTAAATCCACACACAAACCCAGACACCGGCTCCTGTTCCGGTACGTCCTTCCTCGTTCCGTGGCAGCCGGACCGGGAAGCTCTCCTTTCACCTCACAAACCCAAGCACCGGCCCGTGTCCCACTGCCCTGCCCGCCTCCCCCGCCCTCTGCCAGTGACCCCACGCAGGCAGACGCTGGCAGCCTGGGACACTCACCCAGTGCGGCAGCGGCGTACAGGCAGTTGACAATGCTGAAATTATCGAACTTGGAGCAGCCACTGATGATGGCCTGACAGAGAGTCTGAAACTCCGGCTGCTCCAGCATCTGGCCGGGCCCGCGGCTCTCCCCGTTCACCGTGGCCTGGCCCTGCTGCTGCTGCTGCTGCAAGAGCTGGCCCAGCTTGTGCAGGGCGATGGGGTAGTGGCTGGGTGATCACTTGCTGGGGGGTTGATGTAGCTCTCCCCGTTCACCGTGGCCTGGCCCTGCTGCTGCTGCTGCTGCAAGAGCTGGCCCAGCTTGTGCAGGGCGATGGGGTAGTGGCTGGCGGACACCTTGCTGGGGTTCTGAGTGACCCACCGCAGCACTTCCCCCACACTGCGCGAGCGCTCTATCAGACGCTTCATTGTGAAGAAGGTGTCATAACTCATCTTCTCGTGGATGAAGTTCCAGCTCTTCCTCTTGCCATGACCTCGAGTCCTGTAGGCGTCCGGGGGAAAGGTGTGCAGCAGCCCATGGCCGTAGGGGTCCAGGGGGAGCAGCACAGCCCGCTGCTTAGCTTTGCCTGCACAGTAGCAGGTGGGATACATCCCGGCCCTGCTCCTGTCACCAGCAGCCAGGCCCTGCAGGACTCCGGGCCGCACGCTTTCTCGGGTCAGAGCACGGAGCCATGGCAGCAGGCGCAGCATGGCGAGGGCAGGGCGGCTCGAGAGGCTTTGGAGAACCGGGAGATCCTGGGGACGAGAGGTGGGGTGAGGAGGGTGGCGAGCTTGTGCCTCTGGGTCAGCTGGAGCCAGCAAGGGACACATGGAGCCCACGCTGGGACCCCCTACCCACACAGATCCGCCCCAGTCCAGGGGTACCTGGCCCACACAGCCCCCTGTTCTGGGGTCCCGCCACGTGCAGAGATCCCCTTGGTACCGGGACCCCCACCCTGCACAGGCCGCCCGGCCCGAAGTGCCCTGGCCCACACAAGCCCCGTTGTCCCGGGATCCCCAGCCTGCACAGGCGTCCCCACCCTGAAGTCCCCTGGCCCACACAGCCCCCTCCCCGCTCCCGGGGCCCCCGGCTCGCAGATCCCCCTTGTCCCAGGGGCCCCGGCACGCACAGATCCCCGTCCGGT